TGGGTAGCAGTCTCTATATCTGAACACTGGCTTCTTTCTTTTTTCCTGTTTTGTTGATATAAACCTAGTCCTGAACTCAGTGCCTCAAAAGGATTTTGATAACCAGATATTCAGACAGTTCCTAACTCCCTTTCCTGGATCTCTTTCCCCCACCCCCTTAGCTATAATTTCTTTAGTATTGGGGATTGGTTAGCAGATATTCAAATGGGTTCAGTGAATAAAAAGACCCTGTGAGAGAGAATTTACCAGGGTAATGCATCCATTGCCCTTCTGACTTTTGTAAATTTTATATCTTTCAAAATAATGTACATGTCATTTCTCCCTCACATGAAAAGTGGTTCATATCACATGTAGAACATACCCATTAAAGATTTCTTTAACGTCCACCTACTGAAATGGCATTTTTTTTTTTACTTGGAAAGACTTCAATGGGTTGCACTGCCAGGGACCAAAAATAAGATTTTAATTGAAATACAGATAAGATAGGAGCCTTTAATTTACCTTCTCCCTAAGCAACAGGACTTTTCTGGCTGCATCTGATAGATGGCTTTTCCCCCTTCTTTCTTTTTCAGCCTAAGCTAGAGCAAAATTATCTTATCTTCAGATGAAATATTTTAGGGATTTGGGGATTTTGTGTGCCTCAGGACAAAGGACAGTGTTTGTGAAAAGATCACTGTCCTCTTTTGGAGGCAAATTTTATCCTTATTGAAATTCTGATGTTAGAAAAAGTCTGCCATCTCATCACCATCCTGCATGCCACACATTTTATGTGCTCTTATAGAGGGACACAAGAATATTAGGGAGAGGAAGAGAAAGAACACAAGGAGATTTCCCCTGCAATCATTCAGATGAGACATTTTTCTTCACCAACAAAAGAGTTTGTATAAAATGTGATGCTATAAAAGTGACTTATGTTATTCTTACTGGGGGCTCCAAGGGACAATGCATTCTGGACCACGAGATCATTGTCACCACTTTCGGAGTAAATAACACAGATTCTTTTTCTTAGTCTCCTGTCCACGTGCACACCAGGGCTCTCCCTCCTCCAGCCAGCCCACGGCCACCACCCTCAGGTCTGACAAAACAGCAAAGACTGATAGAGAAAGGCACATAAACCATACGACACAGACCTCCAAGGCCAAAGATAATTGAATTACCTGGTTGTCTGCGGTGATGAATATAAGTCATAGAAACCGGATGCATCGTCTCTTTTTACTGCACTTCTGGCTGCAGTTCTAGCTTTTAGTTTCCATGCTGGCACCAAAAGGCCACGACTCCACTGTATTGGCCATTTGTGGCCCCAAATGATCTCTCCAACACCCCTTGAAATGCAGCTTTGAAATCACCCTTGCATTTCATAGATACTCAATGGCAGGTCACCACTTCCACATGTGGTGCAATTTTACAAAATGTTTCATTTTATGATTGCATGAATTATGTAGACTTTATTAGTTCTGGGCCAAATAATATTGGTCAATAATCTATGTACCTGTTTTTCTCTTTTCTCTTACCTGGTCAGGTGAATCCTGCCTACTTTTATTTGGCAGTTCCACTTCCACTTTCCTGGCTAACGTGGACACCATGCAAAGAATCATCAGCATCAAAGCATATTTGGCCCTTCATTCAAGAGAGTGGACACTGGATAAAGCAGAAAGCACACTGGGGGAATCAAAGCATGCTGGAAAATACACAAGAATTGCTATTAGAGCTCAATGAGATCTGAGCCCTAGGTCTTGAGAAGATGCTTAAACTCCCCAGTCCCTCACTTCCAAAATGAAAGATATAAAGGTCTCCCCAGGGCTTGTAACTGGGCTGAATTGACTTAATGCTTGTATAAATACCTGGCATAAGCACTGGTCTGAGTGACCCATCAACGTGAATTCACTCCTTTTTCTCTGTTTTCAGTGGCTGGATTAGGTGAGCCAGAAATTATACCATTTCATTGTCATCCCCACTGTTTGTTCATTTGTCTTCCCAGGAGAATTGAGAGGTTGGGAGGACTATAATCTGTAAGCTCTGAAAACACAAGAACTACTTGTGTTTATTCATCATTGAATTTCCAACACCAGACCGAGCCTGGCACAAGGTTCTTTTTTAATGAGAGAATATGAAGATGTACCTTAATGAAAAATAATCCCCTATCTCATCAACAGGGCAAAGGAAGGGGCAAGTTCTACAGTGAGTTCTGCCTTACTGTGACATCTGTGTTCCTAAAAATCACTCAGTATCCCAGGGATTAGAGAGGAAATAAGGCTGAGAAACAACATTCAAAAACTCCATCAGGGACACATTTTTAAGAAGATATGACCTAATAGAAGAGGTACTGTTGTTTCGCACCTGTTAAGTAGTTAATAAATATATATGCATGCTACAATAAATACAACACTTATTTTGAGAAAGGCCTGAAGCTTGCTTGTGGAAGTGTGTCTGAGAAGTGGGGAGGCTTGTGAGTTCTTGTGAAGTGATGGAGGAAGGGCGACATGAATTGGGAGGATAAGTTGTCACATTTCTATGTGGCTCCGTCTAGCTAGGTGCTGTTTTTTGTTTTCACCTACTATTTCTTGTGGAGGAAAACACACATCAGCAAATGCAACATTTGTGTGATGTCACATTGTTCCTAAGGACATCAATCACGTTAAATGTGCACTTGCCAAACAAAGATTATGGAGGAACTGGCTATATTTTCAATTATTGGAGGGGCTTTTCAATAGGAAAACAAGCAAGCTCTTGGTTTCTCAGGTGGTGAATGGCCAGACATTAGAGAAGGCAGCTCTGATCTTGACATGAAGCCCACATTGTAACACTTAGAGCTCTCTTGGCCAGGAGTTTTCATGGGAGACAGTGGGCACCATATCAGAGGAGAGGTTCAAGCAGAAGGTGGTCACCTGGAGGACAGCGATAGAAGAGAAATTCTCAGTTGGCCTCTGAAAGTCTCTCCAAGTATAAATTTTTTAATTCTCGATAGTATCAAGAATTAAACATTCACTATGTCCACAAAATTTTAAATTTCTGGTGTGTGTGTGTGTGTGCACATGTTGCTATGCATATAGATGTGTGAGGTATTTTTTCTTTTTGAGACAGAGTCTTACTCTGTTGCCCAGGCAGTGGTGCGATCTTGGCTCATTGCAACCTCCACCTTCTGGATTCAAAAGATTCTCCTGCCTCAGCCTCCTGAGTAGCTGGGATTACAGGCACACGCAACCGAGCCCAGCTAATTTTTGTGTTTTTAGTAGAGGCGGGGTTTTACCATGTTGGTCAGGTTTGGTCTTGAAGTCCTGACTTCATGATCTGCCCACCACAGCCTTCCAAAGAGCTGGGAGGACAGGGCAGAGCCACCATGCCCGGTCAGTGTGTGTGAGCCATTTCTAAGTGAATTGGCCATGCTGCATGGGTAAGTACTGGGTAAAGCAACACTAGCCACTGTAACAGATAAACCCCCAAATATCAATAATCGGCCATATCTGAAGTTTATTGCTTTCTTAAGTTCCTTCTAAATGTGTGTTCCTGAAGAAAAATAACCATCCATTTAAACTCAGCGTCATTTTCTTCATTATATTCAGAGACACACAGCAATGCCTAGCTGCAAAGGAGGCCAGTCCATGTGGTCTGCCGTGTTCTCAGGAAGGAGAGTCAGGTTTGGTGACCTCCTGCAATCTCTGCCTCATTAGACCTCACGTTTTCCGTATATGCCTATCAATGTCAATGTGTTCAAGCAGAGTTAATCCAGAGAGGGGAGAAATTGGGATGGCGCTTATTAAACATCTATTACATGCTTGACTCTGATCCTCATACATTCGCACACATTATTTTATTTAATACATATAATCATGCTGCTAGATGGATATTGTTCTTCCTGCCTACAGATGGGAAAATTAGGATCAAAGAGAAGTAGCAATTTGGACAAGATCACATGGTTAAGTGCATAACAGGGGAAGGAGCTGAATTTCAAACAGGAGATGCCCATTCTGCTTTGTTGCACCATGGCCCTTTGGAAGCACTCAACTGGTCACTTTGGGCTAAGGCTTGGAATGAGCTAGTCACATCTCAAAATCTGGGGATACCTGCATGGGGCTGTAAAGGTCGGGAGGACTGCAAAGAGAGTAGATCTAGGTATTGGGATAGGGGTAGTGTTCAATTCGGTTGTTCAGTATGTATAATTTAGACATCATCTTTTTACCACAGAAAAGTGCACAGGCTTGGTCCCTTCCTCAGTCTGCAGACACGCCTCAACCTCTTGTAGCCACCCGAGCTTGATTAAGCCAGCCTACTTCCCTGAGCTTCAATTCCTCCAACTGAAACACAGTTCATCAATAAAACTCCTTTCTTTTTGAGAGTGAGCTAAGAGTATGTTCATAGAGAGTGAATGTGTTTTTAAGCCCTTAGGTGCTCTATAATTATCGTCATCATGGAAAATATCCATTCGTTTTGCAGGAAAAAAAGAACAGGAAAATCAGATTCTGGTTGTTTATGGGGAAAATCCTCCTGCTGTTTCAATGATGGCTATTAATGTTTTTAAGTCTTACAGATTGGTTTTAAAAACACTTTTTTGAGGTCTCGTTGCAGTTGAAAGCCCATGGGAATGATTTCTAGTAATCTAAGTTGATAAACTGTAAATTAACTTTATTTTCAAAGATTAAGAAAAAACCTACAAAATACTCCCCATGACCTTTGACAAAATAATTGTACCAGCTGTAAAACAGCTAAATGCTGATTAGCAGACATATCCAGAAATTAGTGTACAAAATAGAAAGATACCAGAGAACTTATTTTGTAACTACTTCTTTCCTTTTATGTAATTTTCTTTCTCCAAATTATAATTTCTTTCTAAACCATAAAATGTTTGGCCAATGTCTGATGATGCTTATCCATAGAGATAAAACTTGAATTAAAAGAAAAGGCAAGAATTGGAGCTTCATCCTGATTTGTCAGAGAGAATGTTCTGGAGTGTGCAAAGGAGAAATAAAAACCACAGAGCTTTTCTCCCAATGGTCTGCCTTCAGCATGAAGAAGAAGTCAACATTTTGAAGTGTTTACCATGGACCAGGAGGTAATATAACACATCATTTACCTCTCCCAAGTAGCCTGGAGCATAGATTCCATTACCTCCCTATAACAATGAGAAAAGCAAGGCTAGGGGAGGATAGACACTCATGCCGCCTGTATTCGTTGATTTTCACACTGCTATAAAGAAATACTCAAGACTGGGTATTTTATAAAAAAAGGAAGTTTAATTGACTCACAGTTCCACATGGCCGGGGAGGCCTCAGAAAACTTACAATCGTGGCTGAAGATGAAGGAGGAGCAAGTACCTTCTTCACAAGGCAGCAGGAAAAACAGTGTGAAGAAGAAACTGCCAACACTTATAAAACCATGAGATCTCGTGAGAGCTCCCTCACTGTCATGAGAACAGTATGGGGAAAACTGCCCCCATGATCCAATCATCCTCCACCTTCCCTTGACATGTGGGGATTACAATTTAAGATGAGATTTGGGTGGGGACACACACCAAACCATAGCATGTCATAGCATTGGGAAGTGCACATGCCAGAATTCTAATGCAGGCTTCCAGAGCTTTGAAAAAAAGAGATTGCTGAGTACCTGGCATCATAAACCCCACTGAAATTGGACTCTCCTTCTTCCTATGGGGTATATGGGTCAGAATTCTCCAGAGAAACTGAACAACAAGATTGTGTGTACATTTAGACAGATTCGTTTGAAGGAATTGACTGGTGTGATTGTGAGGGCCTGATAAGTTCAAAGTTTGCAGGGTGGGCTGTTAGGCTGGGGCCCCAGAGATGAGCAGATGTGTAGTTGAAGACTAAAGGCTGACTTCTGGTATTAAACAGAATTCCCTCTTACTCAGAACAGGTCATTGTTTGTTCTGTTCAGGCCTTCAAGTGATTGGATGAGGCCAATCTACACTAGAGAAGGCAATCAGCTTAATCAAAGTCCACCAATTTAAATGTTAATCTCCTCCAAAAACACCCTCACAGAAACATCAGAATAATGTCTGACCAAATATCTGGGTACCTTGACCCAGACAAGTTGACACATAAGATTAACCATCACATGGGGATTATTCATTATGGGATCAAAGTGACAAAGAGAAAATCCCCGGAGTCCAGAAACACTTATCCTTGAATGAAAACTAATTGAAATCTCATGTTCTCTTGTCAAACCATTGAGGTCGAGGTCCATCGTTCCCAGGAAATAACAAAGACCCAGGTGACAGGGAACACTGAGAAAACTGTGGAACAACAAAAAAAATGTAAAGACAGATGAACCCCAGATTTCTTAGTCTCAATGTAATCACTTTTTTTATTTGGACAACAGTTACCCTGAAGTCTACAATGAGTGATCACTCATCAATAACATGTTCTTCTCCCCTTATGAATTGCATTTCCTTTGAACAAGTAAATCCACAATTTAGAGGACATACAAACTATTGACTTGATGCAAAGTGGAATCTTTGCATTGTTGCTGTCTTTTCATCACAGGACTAGCAAATATTTCCTGCTCTCTTATCGTGGGTGCATGCTGGGGGGCTTCTACCTGTGCTATTCCAGTTACCTGCACAAGCATTCCTATCAACCTCACAGTTGTTATCCTCCCAATTTGGTATTGTCATTGGTGATTTGCAGTTGGGGAAACTGATACTCAAAGAGATGAGATGCATTTCCTAGGGACTCACGGGTTGTAGATGCCACCTCTGGGTTTTGAATTTGTCTCTGTGCTGACACCTATGCTCACGACCACTGCCTCTTTCATACTCTTATTATTTTATATTAATTTGACACAGTTCACTCTGGCACCCACGCTGGAATGCAGCAGATGATCATAGCTCACTGCAGCCTCAAATTCCTGGGATCAAGGATCCTCCTTCCTCAGCCTTTCAAGTAGCTGGGACTATAGGTGTGTGGCACCATGCTTGACTCGTAATTTTTTTAGAATGCATTTTTCCTTTGGTCTCTATAATTTTATTTCCCTTTGTTTATTTATAAGGTGCACTGCTTTGGGGTTTAAAACAATTCACTTTAAAAATAAAGTGTCCACATTTGGGGTACTGAATATCCTGTGTCTTGATCTAGGTGGTGGTCACATAAGTGTGTGTGTATATATATATATTCACCAACCTGTGTGCTAAAGGTTAATGAGCTTTATGGGGTATATCCTACATGAATACAAAAATGGGAATTTAAATATAAGCAACCAAAGACAAAACAAAGCAAAAGAACTAAACAATGAAATCATAATCACAGGATCGTAGAACATCTGCACAAAAAGAGACCCACAGAAACTTGTTGTTTTGTTCTGACACTTTTGTCACATGGCACTGCCATGGCTTGTCTGTGAGAGAGTGCGCTGGTCACCTCACAGACCATGGGCTCACCAAGGGCAGACCTGGCATATTTTGTCCCTCAACACAGGCTTGTAGGGTGATTTTTCTGCTGTGATACATTTGATTTGCACAAGTTATCTTGTAAGAGTCAAAAAACCTAATCGTATTTACGAACAGGCCCTTGGCAAAGACGTTTATTGCACACCTTAAATTTGCGAGATTATCTCTTCTCATCTTACTGAGCTCTCACCTTAATCTTCCTGATCATCTCCTTCTTACCCCGTTAAGTGCCCACTCACCTAAAACACACTGGGTAATGATGTTTATTACCCAACAATGAAAATATTGTTATTTATGGTTATAATCAGGATGTCATCAAATATGAATGCTCACATTCGGTGAGGGCCTTTCAACTGATTGTTTATGTAAATGAAAGCGTTTGCTCATCATCACATCCATTTTGGGAAGAAACAATCAGCCAGGCGGGTTGTTGCTCTCTGTAATATCTTTTTAATATTCAGTTCACTGAAAGCCAATCTGCAACAAAAGAAAAAAATTTACAAATTTAAGGTTAAACGTAAACCTTTAGCAAATGTCAGTGTGCCCTGGAATGACACAGGCAGAAGCTCAACTGCAATTCCTCTTCACTGGGAAACTCAGAATGGGCCTCCAATCCAGATGTGGTTTGCAATAGAGAAGTGGCCTTTCCATCCCAGTTTCTCCCACTCAGCACTAAGTGGACAGAGCCATTACACAGTGGATGCACACCCCCCAACACCACCCAGCCCTGGAGTTGGGCCATCTATGTGATCTCAAGGATGTCACATTTGTGTGATATCATGGATGTCACATTTATAAGCAAGTCTTAGTTAACTTATCTGTTGTATTAGTCTGTTCTCACACTGCTAATAAAGATATATCTGAGACTGGTTTACGAATACAAGAGGTTTAATGGACTCAGAGTTCCACATGGTGGGGGAAGCCTCACAATCATGATGGAAAGCAAGGAGGAGCAAGTCACATTTTACATGGATGGCAGCAGGCAAAGAGAAAGAGGGTGTGTGGGGAACTCTCCTTTATGAAACCATCAGAACTTGTCAGATGTATTCACTACCACAAGAACAGCATGGGAAAAACTCATCCCCTTGATTCAATCACCTCCCACTGGGTCCCCCTCTATGAAATGTGGGAATTGTGGGAGCTACAATTCAAGATGAGATTTGGGTGGGGACATAGCCAAACCACATCATCTGTGAAGGGAAGTTCAGATGGACTGAAAGTGAGAATTCTAAGCATGCATCCATAATAACTGTCTCAGTGGATAGACCCCACTTTACTGTTAGGAGGGAAAACATTCTGGCACCGACATTTATGGTAACTAATACTGAGGCTCTAAATTGTAATTAAAAGTAAAAGGAGCCCATTGTACTGTTCTCTAAAGGGGATACACATTTCTTTTGTGAAGAACCAGACAGTAAATGGTATCGACTCTGTGGACCACTTAGTTTCTGCAAACCGAGTGAGTCTGTGCAGCAATAAAACTTTATTTGAAAGACATATTTGATCTATGAAGCATAATTTGTTGACCGCTGGTCTAAAGTATCCTTACTTGAAGCATTATTCACAGATCATTAGTATTGCAAGATATTCTCTGCCAAAAAAAAAAAAAAAGTCTCTAGACCCGTAAGTTGGGAAATACTTCATACCTTGTCCTCCAGGGTTTTCACGTAGTGCACATGATCCTTCTAAATCTGCTGCAAAGAAACTGTTGAAAGCAGAATTTTTCCAAACTTTTTTGACCTTCCTTTGTACCCAGCCCCTGTGCCTGCCCAAAGGACTCTTGCTTTGGGGAATGCAGCTCTGAGAATGTTTTTGTCATTGGACCCTGAGACGCTTAAAAAAAAAAGACTCTTTAACCACCTTGCTAACCATCTGTGATCCATCTTATGGGGCGTAGGACTGAGGTCTGGGGAGGCTAATAGATCCTGCAGGTAAGGCAGTAACCCCCTGATTGGTTGGTTGAGTTACTTTGTCCTAATGCTCTGAAGATGGCCGAGCAACAATCATGTGGCACAATAGAGAGATCGCTGAGAAGAATGAAAAGACCCAAGTCTTCTCTTCATGTTGCCCTCAGTGTCCTCTGTGGTTCTGGGAAGCGGCTTCACCCTTCTGAGTTTCACCTGCAAAATCATTTTCCCCATCTGAGAAAGAAAGACATTTATTCAGAAAATCCCTGAAAGTTTTGCAGTGTCATTATTGTTTCAATCATTCTTTTTTTTTTTTTTTTCTTTTTTGTCTTCAAGGGGAGATGGAATGCAGAGATAAAGTCCCAGAATGAGGGAACTCCAGGCTGGAGTGCAGTGGCATGATCTAGGCTCACTGCAACCTCCACCTCTTGAATTCAAGCGATTCTCCTGCCCCAGCCTCCAGAGTAGCTGGGAGGACTACAAGTGCCTGCCACCACGCCTAGCTAATTTTTGTATTTTTAGTAGAGATGAGGTTTAACCATGTTGGCCAGACCTCAAGTGATCCACTCACATCAGCCTCACAAAGTGCTGGGATTGCATGCGTGAGCCACAGCACCCAGCCGAATTAGCACTTCTTTAACCACACACTTGACTTTCTGACTTTCAGTTTTGTGTAAACAGAGCCAGCCAGATTTTGGCTTCCCAAGTCAGAATCATGAGGGTCAATGCCCCAAGGGAAAGACAAACACAGCAGCAGCACCCACTCACAAGGACCCACCGGCGGACTAGCAGTCAGAAGCACACGTCCTAAGCTGAACCCGGCTTCCTCATTCATTCCTCGTAGAAACTTGCACAAATGACCCACATTTTTTCTTCTGGCCTCAGTCCCCCTATGTATCACTAGAGAGTGGTACTTTATAAACTGTTGTAATAGGCAAAGAATAGTTTTATTAATATCATAACTGCTGCCATCACTGTGGCTGCTCCACACCAAGTATAAGAGGCAAGAGAAAATTCTGTGGTGAATATTCAACCCTTCATAGCGCGAGGAGGACCACTGAGAAATCAGCGATCTACTTCCTAGCACTGCCTCTTATTGGACAGCCTCCTCCCCTGCAAAATGGGGAGGTCTTAAAGCCCCTTTAACTCAGAGACATTTTGAGAGAGTTATTTGTAATGTCCCAGGCACTGTTACGTTAACTGTGTTTGACATATCATTCTATTCATGCTACTAATGTGATGATGGCACTAATAAGACATGCCTCACACAGGAGCAGGGAGACAACCGCGATTTCTGTAGGAAAAAAAAATCTGTTACAAATGGCAGGGCAATCTCTCCCACTGAGGGATAGGAAAAAATTGGCCTTGAATCCAAAAGTTTGTACGGATGTTTAAAAAAAAAATACATGACTTGGCTTTCTTGAAAATTTATCCAATTGAATTTCCTTTCGAATGAGAGCTGAATGATTCCTTCCTTTTAGCTAGACCTCGGCTTCAGAAACACCATCGCTGCACAGTATATTACGCACATCATTTATTCAGCAGATATCATAATATATTCAGGGCTGCTCTTAGGAAGAGAAATTTCAATATTAGATAAAAATAGTGAGATGGCGACGGTAACAGTGTTTGTCTGGTACACAGAGTAAATAGGATTGTTAGCGATTGCTACAGGCTTCAGGAAAAGATAGGGAAACAAAGATAGCTCGTGCCAGATTCTGAGCCGAGCAGTTGCAGGGGCCCAAGGAAGCTTGATTACCTTCTGCCACCGTGTACTTCTAAGCAGTCCCAGAGATGAGTTCTTCCTTTCTTATATTTTCTTGTAAGAATGGCTGAATGTTATCCTAATTAGAAATCTGCTCAGATTTGGAAACAGGCTGACGTTGTCTTCTCTCCATAACCCTCCATCCTCCCACCTCTATCTATGTTTCTCTCTCTCTCTCTCTCTCTCTCTCTCTCTCACACACACACACACACACACACACACACACACACACACACAGGCACTCATGATAATGTCCAATGTCCACAAAGAGTCAGAGTCTTGTCTGGGCCCAAGTCACCAAACTGGCTTGACACAGGCTCTGGGTCTCTCTGAACGAGAGTTCTTGGAGCTGCGTGGGCAGCGACTGGCCTGAAGAATGTCTCCAGGCCTCCCTGGCCATGTCCTCTACATCCAAGTGCTGGCTTGTATGGAACACTAACAATGCCCAGGACTGGTTCTGTGTTTTATACGTATCAACTCATTCAATCCTCACAACACCCACGGAGATAGGTAGCATTAGTCTCTTCATTTGATGAGGAATCTCCCCACTTAACAGATGAGGAAACAGGTGGGGTATCAAGAATTTAAGGAATTCGCCAAAGGTCATGTCCAGGAAGTGGCCAAGCCAGAATTCCAACCTAAGCCACGTGGTTTCAAAAGCACAGAGCAGAAATCCCAGCACAGAACCCAGCCTCAAAGGCACAGGGCTGCCGTGACTGCTTCTCCAGTAGACGCTCCAGAGCAGTGGCTCCTATATGTCCACTCATGTGTGCGTGAACACCCGTGAATGTGCGGACACTCTGCTTGACTCACACAGAACTGTGACTGGCAGAAGTGTGCTATTGTGTCATCCGAACAAACCCAATTGGAAAGAATGGCCCAGGGGAGAAAGAATTGCCATTTAGAAGAAGAAGTCAGTGCAGCAGAGGAGACCCTGCAGATCCCAGAGAGGGAGGGAGGCAGCCTAGGGCCAAAGGAGTTGGGGGGCTCCCAGCGAAAGACACATTCGCAATGTGAAAGGTGGGTCAGGTATGGAAATGGGCAAGGTGGATACATAAGGCAGAAAAGTGGAAAATGAGAGGTGGGCAGGCTCTCACAACAACGGGGCTGGGCTCAGGGCTACCTTTTGTGAGGGAAGGGAGGCCAGCAGGCTGCGATAGCGAACTTGAACTATTTTTTCTAATTGTTCTGTTTGTAACAAAGCTGAGGGCCAGTGACGTGTTTGCAGGGGCTTTGGAAAGTCTGGTTGAGTTTCTGCACAAGCTTTCTTGGGCAACCTTGTAGATGCCTGGCAAGGTTGCGGCAGAGCCTGCAATTCTCACACTTCCCAAATCCTCCCAAAAGCCTAAACAGCGGTAGGCCGTGCATTTCTTCATTATCTTCTGCACAGGGACCACCTGGGTCCGTATCTAACAACATAGATTTGAAGTCACTACAAGTAACCGACCTTCTGTTTATTCTTCTCATGTTTTTTTCTGAGGCTATGGATTAGGTGCCTACATAGATACACTATGCATTTCATGGTGTTTTTTCTTTCATTTTTGCTTTTACACGTGAGGCCCAGGGGGCCCACTGCAAGGAGGAGCCCAGGAATGAGTAGGAACCGTTCGTGCTCTGTGGGCCCAGAGCTTGCTCTAGCAGCCGTTGTTTTTGCTTCATTAAGAAATGTCTTATTTCTTCACCCACCAATAATAGTTGTTTGTTGCTATTTTCTCAAGCATTCTGACAGTTTCAAAACCAGGAAGCATGACTCAATCCTAGTGGGGGCTCAGTCGAATTCTCTGAATGAACAGAAAGAAATTACGTATGTAGAAACATTTTTTAATCTTTGTCTATTCTGTTCACTGACCTGAAGAACCAAGCTCCAAGCTGAAGTACAGCAGGGGATGTGTGTCTTTCTCTCACTTTCACCTCTTGGCACGTCAACTCCTCTAGCAAGGGCCTCCGTGTACACGTTCCCACTTAGCCCCCATTTATTTCTGTGGGGTCAGCTTCCTTATTTCCTTTGACAGCTGAGAAGCCAGAGTTTAGAGTCATTACATAGTGCTGAGAAACATAGAAAGGGGTTTAAAAAAATTGAACAAAAATGCATCTGTTCTAAAGTTTGTGTTCTTTTCACTACAGTTTATTTCTCCTGAATGAAAAGAAAGGAACACATGTAGGAAGCTTCAAGTTTAGTCTCATTATTTGTAAAATGGGATAGTGAAGATCACTCAAAAGCTCATTAGAAGCACTGAGTTATTCCTGGCTTATAAATTGTAGTGGATAAGGTCAGTAAATTCATTGCTAGTTGAATTTTGTGTTAGGCTAGTCTCATACTGCCATAAAGAAATACCTGAGACTGGGTAATTTACAAAGGTGAGGTTTGATTCATGGTTCCCCAGGCTATACAGGAGGCATGGCTGGGAAGCCTCAGGAAACTTACAATCACGGTGGAAGGTGAAGGAGAATCAGGCACATTTTACACAGCTGAAGCAGGAGAAAGAGAGAAAAGGGGGAGGTGCTACACACTTTTAAGCAACCAGATCTCCTGAGAACTCACTTACTATCACAACAGCAAGGGGAAGTCCACCCCCATGATTCAAGCACCTCCCACAGGCCCCACCTCCAAAACTGGGGATTACAATTCAACATGAGATTTGGTGGGGACACAAATCCAAACCATATCAAATTTCAAACTAGATCTGTTAAAGGAAGAAGCGAAGGAAGCCTGTAATGTGTTGCTGGGTGGATAAGGGACATGGAAGTGTGAGAATTCCAATGGCTCATTACTTGGTCCTTTGATTCTGAATCCAGCGTGTGGGGTTCATTCAATGGATTGCTTGGAAAGAACAATTGGAATAGATCCTCTGATTTCTCTTCTTCCTTCTCATCTCCTGATTTAATTTCTTCCTCTTTCCCTTTCCATTTCTATGAATATAGAATGGAGAACATAAACAAACAAGTATCAGGAGACATGGGTTTGGATTTTCCTCCTCTTTTTTGCTCTGAGTCTGAGAAAGTCTCTTGAACTCTCTGAGATTCATTTCTTCCTACATAAAAGGAAGGAATTGGTCTAAACTATTTTAAGATTTTAAATCTCAATGTCTCCCTTCCTCTCCCTTGCAACAATCACCTCCCCCTCTTGTGAGCTAGTCTCAGGAAACTGGAAGATTGCAAGCAGAAAACTAGCCTGATACATATAGCATATGCAAATGCTCTGCCAGAGAGACCACCAAAGCTTGAATTCCTCCTTCTGACTCTCCAGAGAGATTTAGAGCCAAGACTTTCAGCCAGGGCAGAAGGATTCTAGGTGTGCAAGCATCTTGAGTACATAAAACTTAACTAGCATTCTGCTCCAGATCCTGCTCCAAGCAAGTTCACCTCATCAAAACACCGCTAGGGTGAGCTGTGATTCCTGGGAGCTCTTCCTCCCTCAAGACAACAGAAAGTACTTCCTCACTACCTCTCTGGAGTGCCATGACCATTGCTCCTTCTTACCAAGAGCCAGCAAAGCCTGGGAACAGGATTTGCAAATAAAGGAGGGAGAAAGGAGGCCTAGGGATAGTGGAAAGAGAGCTAAGAAATAAAGATGGAAGATGCAGGAGGAGTGGTACCTAGGACCCAGGAGCAAGAAGGAAGAGAAAGAAGGGAGGTGGGGAACCCAGCAGAGAGACAGGCAGAGAAGGCTGAGGCAGGAGCACAAGGGAAAAGCCCATGGTGCTACAGTTTGAGGCACTACACCTTGTTGTTTGAATTCCAAAATTTTCCATTTCTACTAAATGTAACTGGAACTTACTGTACATTTACCAGACAAGCCACTACCCTTTGCAGTACCCTTGAGAGAAGGAGGTGGACAGAGACTGCTACATTTTGCCATCATGAGAACATGGACAGGATAATCCTCCTGAAGCTACTTGAGAGTGAAGTCCAGCCCTTGGCGCCTGGATTCTACTGTCAAGAACCACCAGCTGGCCTGACTGCCAGCTTCCAAATTCAGCCGTGTTCTCACCCAGCTCCAGCACGTAGCCAAACTCAAAGGCATGAAAATCAGTTAGAACACGTGAGAGAAGATGGTTCTCAGTCTGAACCAGACATATCAATAACTTGGTGTCCCAAATGCAACCCCAATATTTCTTTTGTCTATTACAGGCCAGAAAAATTAACGTCTGCTTGAAAGTCACACGTTAGAGGCTGATGTGACTGCAACTGTAGCAATGAATGCACTTAGCCATTCTGTTATTCATCATTTGACCACAAATATATGGCTAGCAGGAGGGGACGAGTGCTGGGGACTAGACACAGTTAAATCAGAACATGTCCACCCTTCAGAAGCTTACCACGTGGTGAAAGCCTTCATGTACGTGTTCAAATATCTTTTTTTTTTTTTTTCTGAGGCAGGGTCTCACTCACTCTCTCATCCACAGACTGGACTGCAGTGGCACAATCTCAGCTTGCCACAACCTCTGCCTCCCAGGCTCAAGAGAATCTCTTACCTCAGCCTCCTGAGTAGCTGGGATTACAGGAATGCACCACCATGCCTGGCTAATGTTTATAAAATTTTTAGTAAAGATGGGGTTTCACCATGTTGGCCAGGTTGGTCTCGAACTCCTGACCTTAAATGACCCACCCGTCTCTGCCTTCCAAAGTGCTGGAATTAGGGCATGAGCCATAGCCACTGCTCCCAGCAGGTTCAAATATCTCTTTAAAAAGATATTTTAAAAGGAATGAGAAAGGAGAGTCTGCACGGTCTGGCTAATGAAGCATAAGCTTCAGTGCTAGCCAGCCATCTTCATTAGCTTTGAGGTCAACCCAACCTTTTGGATCCTCAGTTTTCTCATCTATAAAATGGAACAAGCAAGAGTGGTGACACCCAGAGGCTGTGCAGAGTCCAGGTGACCCTACAGTATACTTGATATGCCTGGCATAGCATCAGGGGCCCCACACATGCACGTGCTCCCTTTGCAGTCCAAACAGGGAATATTTATTTTCCAGTTTTAAGTTGATCCTATTCCCTCATCTGCATTTCTTTAACCTTCCATTCTCAATAAGTTGAGTAAGAGGGACAGTGAACTGGAAAGGGAAAACATGTGAAAATGCGGAGAATTCTGAAAATACATCTTTCCAAATTGTGCAGCTTGGTGTTGGCAAGATGACAAGGGCCCCGGAAACCGGGTGCAAACACAGCGCAGCAAAATCACGCAGCTTGCGTGTGCAGTATATGTATGTTACATGCCAAGTGCTGAACAAGTGCTTTTAAACAAATGACAAATATGATAGGAGGCTGTGAAGATCAGGCCAAGTGAATGCAAGGGTTTTCAAGATTCAGATGTGGACACGAAGTTCATCTCATTCCCACCCGCCAGCTCTTGCCGCCCTGCAGACCCCAACCCAACACTCCTTCTGCCTCAACTTCTCTATCGGCGGCACCAGGCACATGCACACACCGTCAAGAAATCACAACTCCGTCCCCCGTGTTAAGCCCGTGGGCTGTAGAATATCGGACAGCACATTATTTTCCCAATCAATTTACAAACTTAACTAATAATTTAATTCGCCGCATGACAAATCCACTAGCTCATGCCGAAAGCAACTTAAATAGAGCGGTCATAAAATTCCCTTCTCCGCCTTTGCTTGATACCATCGTTAAAAAAGAGAAGGGATGAGAAAGTGAAAGGGAAAGTGCAGGGATTCTTTTATGTGAAGATTACATTTAAAAATAACCGACTAACCGTCTGCACTTTTCGGGGGCCTGACGTCTCGAAACGCATTTAGATTGATGCAGGCTGGGGCTGAAGTTCTCGTGCTGAGTAAACAGTCAAGTGTTCTTAATAGGAATTGTAGTTTCTCGACATCTGTTAGGGAAAAGGGAATGGCGAAACAACAATTTAGAGTGAGATTGGTTTTGTTAAATGCATTTAAATTCCAAGATTAGTGGTGTTCTTTCTTTTTCAATTAGCATTTACTTGTAGAAAGGTTACAGATGAAAGGGCTGGGGAAGAGAGCGGGTGGATTTTTTTCCTTACTGAGAGGACACTCCAAAGCATAGTAAAGCTAAAATAGAAAGAGAACATAAGACGTAAAGGAACTTAAAACGGATGCCAAATTGAGACTGCAAATCTTGAAGGGAAAGCATTTGAAATAAAATAAAAATAAAGTGAAGTTGAGTCTGGATTTGATGATCCTGTCCTCTGGGCAGAAAAATCATAAATTGCTTTGAGAAAATACAGGGATTTCTATTTTCCAAGCCAGTTACTAAGCAGAATTTGTGTTATTTCTCAAATATATGCCATGCTTCTGTTTGAGTGTGTAAAGAGCTGTAACTAGCTCACTTTTTTTTTTTTTTTTTTTTTTGATAGAAACATAAACAGAGACGAAAAATGTAGGGAATGTTTCACCTGTTTTACTGCCATTAAATAAACCTCATCTGCTACCAAGCTGTTTTGGGTGACATTTGCTAAATAAATACATTTTGTGGGAGACTGCAACACTGAAGTACAGAGAACATGCAACCAATGTTCTCAGATGAATCCTGTATGCTTCTCAGAGCCTCTACCCCTACCCCAGGGGAGAGTCAAGTGGTAAATTCAGGTTTCTATTTTCACATTGATATTTTATTTTCAAACTTACACAGCTACAAGAAAAAGTACAGGCTTTTGTTACTAGCATTTCTTGTAATTCTCTCTCACTTGCTGCTCCCTTACTCAGTTTTCCTATCTCCCTCCACCTTCCTACCTCCCTACACAAATACCTTTATTGCATTTTTTTAAATTAGGAAGTATTCACTATTTCTTTACGTTTCTACATGGATTTCATCTTTTTAAAATCTACCAGCATGTATATTTTGCGCAAGTCTGAATCCTTTGAAATATTGTTTGATCTTCATGATTATTTAAAAGTATGTATATTGAGTATTTGCTTAAGGTTAAAGCCATTACTGCCGTTTCCAATTAAAAAACTAATAAATACATTTTGAAAGAATGTCTGCCAAGACTGTTCTCTGACAAAGTATCTCTGTGGATATTCAAATGGCACCAAGATGGATTACTGTTTCTGATTATTTCTTGTGTAGGGTCTGAGAGATTTTGCAGAAATCGTAATTGAAGAAAATGATGGAAAGGAAGCTTTGAATATGGGGAGCTGTTATGGCACTGGCTGGACAACCAGATGGAGCTATTCCCAGTCCCCTGCATACAGACAGAGAATCCATTTGATTTAACTAAAGAAGTATACAGTTCTAGAACATTCTGCAACCAGACTTCAGGCACCAGGAGGCCTCTGTAGGCAGGGTTCCTCGGGTTTCTCAGCTGGCTTCCTTGGAGAAATTTCATATGCTGATTCCTTTCAATTATCTGTCAATTTTCAAAATGCAAATAGAAACATGCAGTCATCACTTTGGTACTCACCAACTGATTTCTTCCAAGCACCCAGACCATAAGTGAATGCAGTTCAATATGTTCTCTTCCTTTTTTTAAGTGGAGTTAATATTACTGAGCAGATTTTGGTCAGCTTCCAGGAACCCAGTGTGTGGAGAGGCAGAATTTTATTTTAGAAGCACAAGTTGGTTTGAAAAATGTGAACTTACCCCAACTCTTTCTTTGTTTCATCTCTCTTACTAGACATATTTTATTTTCCTAAATAAAACATAAATAAAAACAAAAAAATTTCTCCATTGATACACACACACACACACACACACAGAAATTAGGTCAAATTATTATTACTACTTAGGTGTCTTTAATTATTTTACATGTTTATAACACAAAAAAAAGTAAAAAGAAAAGAAAAAATGGTGTATAACTTCAAGACCAGGAGATAATGAATAATAAATATTTTGCTATGATTTCTTTTCACATTCTATTCATATACATTTTGTAGAGTTGAGTTCACACAGTTCACACAATTTTGTTTTCTTCCTTTTTCCTTGACCTTTATCAGTAAGGATTTTCTTTATATCACTAAAATTTCTTCATTAACATAACCTAATATGCACTTACAAAATGTTACCTAATCATTCACCTATTTAAGGGCATTTTGTAGTTTGCAATATTGTTTCTTTATAATTTCAGGTAATGTTTAAATAAACCAATTTATGGAAAATAGCTATCTATGTTGGATTACTTGCTTAGAGTGAATTCCTGGAAATAGAATGACTGGGTCAGAGGATACCAACATATTTAATGTCCCCAAAGCATATTGGCAAATTGCCTTCCGTAAAAATTATACCAATTTACCCCCCTATAACTAGCATATAAAAGTGCCTATTTCACAGTATCTTCCCTGCTCCAAGAGCTTTTAAAATCTCTGCAAATTTGAAATATGAAAAAAATGATAACTATTGCCTGGAACAATTTGTTAAAGGATGCACCAGGCAATAGATTTATTTTTAAAAATTTATAATTCAGGAAGAAATGTAAAAGCTTATACACAGGGTATCTTCTGGCCAATAAACGCGAAAAAGCCATGATGCTTCATCATACATAGTAGGTTATTTTGCTTGAATACCTATTACACTTTGCATGCTGCTATAGCAGTCTTTCTAGTCCAGAAAACACTTCACTAAAACAGCAACAATATTAATTTGTTGCATACAACCAAAGGAAGCTCATACTAGATTCTAAACACTATATAATGGGCATGTTTAAGAGTGGAATATCCATGACTCATCTTGCCAGGCTTGGTACTATGCCAGTGGGGAAGGTGGATGGTGCCATCGTTATTTGGGCAGCCATGCCAAGCTCAAGGAGGGAAGCTGAAAACGTTTGAGAACCTGGTTTAAAATCGTTTTCTTGAGATTTAGCCCTAGAGAACACTCAGCTAAATGACCAAGAGAGGCAGAGAGGAGACAGTTAAAAGGTGCGGGAAACCCAGCAACAAAATGAAAAGACATAGGAAGAACCTTGTCATGCAAATGAACTTACCGTAGAGAACCCAGAGGTCATGGGAAAGCACCTTTGTGCTCTAACAGCACAAGGTTCAAGAAGGGAAGACTCAGTCAATAATTGCTGTGTTTGTCTAAACTGTATTCCCCCAGGCTATTGTGTTTTCCCAGTTAATAAAATCAGTCCTGTTCCTTGAAGTTTTCCTGCCATTCAAATTTCCCTCTGAGGCTCAACTTACAGCAAACCCTAAAAGACCTCAAAATAGTTCTAATAACGGGGTGGATTTTGAGGGTAAAAGGAAAGATCAATCACTCTTGGAATATACTCGATATATGAATTAGCACCAAAAAATATCTCTATTTATATAACCCTAATCATGTATTCTTCATCAGAAGTTGCCAGCAATAGTGAGTAGACACTTTAGCACCACAGATTATTCAAAAGAATAATAATAATAAAAGAAAAAAAATGAAAGAAATTAAAAATCCACCAACTTAAAGAAGCATGCTCTACCTCCCCAAATCCTCAATTCCCTTAGCCGTCAGATGTTTTTTAGCTGAGCCAGTCTTCGGAGATGATGGCATTTTTTATCGTAAGAATATTCCTTCTAGTGATCAATTCCCGCTTAATGAAGTGTTCCCTAAATTAAATCTACCCTTTCTGAAAGGTTACTCCCCAAACAAAATGAACAGGAAAATGCCTCCAGTCCATATAAATGTCATCCTGCCCTCCAATAAATCTGTTTTAATCACTATTTTTAAGGAAGCAGCCTGACTGAATAGGAGAGAAACTCAATTACCTTGTATACCAAGACAACTGTCACAGGGGGTCACAAACAGTGCCTTTTGGAGGAGCCTTCCTCCGGAGAGATGCAAGACACACTTTGTTCTGCAAATGATTTGTCCTTTTCCCTTTTTAAAAAAACCAGAGAACCACGTCCCATTGGTGAAAGGAAGAGAAGAAAACTGTTATCAATTGAGGACATACTATGCCAAGGCTCTTTCACATATACTTTCTCACTAATTCCTTACCACGAGATTATTAAAGAACTATTTTTCCTTCTTTCTTTAAAAAGAAAAATGAAGTCCCAGAGGGATAAGCTCACCCTTAAGGGGTACAGCCACAGGGCTGGAGAGGAGAGAGGTGACACTTGTGTTCCATTCTGTGCAATTGCAAGGGTACCTCTGCTAATAAACCAGTGGCTGACCCCAAATCAGCATTGAAAAGTCAACCAAATAAGGACCCTCCAGAGAACCACTCCAGAGAGCATTGGTTGGAAAATGACAAGCAGCAGGTACCTCCTGACACGGATTCCAAACAGCCGTGTGGCTTGGATCGGGTTTCTGCAAAGGCATTCATATGCTTTGCAAAGCTAATGTACGGAGGCAGCCTTCAGTGCTTATGTTTTTTGGAATTAAGTTGCATGACTGTGCCTTGCTCTCTAAAATGTGTAAATGTGTAAATTATGCTGAAACAGATTGCCAATGAAAGTTGAAGAAATGAAAAATATGGTGCACTCTCACGGCAAGGGTGCAAGGACACAGGGGTGTGGCTTGCCACCTGATGTTAAAGGCAGCCTCCAAACTCTCCACGCTCAGGGCTTCTAGAGAGGATGATGGTGAAAAAAGGGGTGGCGAAATGTAAAGAAGTTAGATGTCTTTTCCAAGAGCCCAGTTACACCTAAACACCATCTCTTGCTGGCACAAAGGAAGCTATGTATTATCATGTTACGTAAGTCCTATTTTCAATTCATATTTCGTTTCCCCAATTCACCATATCCTAATAGAAATGCCACAGTAACATGCCAAATTTTGATCCCAAAGATACTCAAGAAGAAAAAGATAGGAAAATGCCCCCACCAAACACCCTTCCATATCTCCCTGACTCCCTAACTCCGTCACTGCCAAGATTCCAGGGGAGCGTGTGTGTGTGCCTGTGTGTACCCACACGCACGTTTGTGCCTTCCTGTTAGTTATTTTAATGTTGTTTCAGTTTACTGTGATGAGGAGACTAATTCCATCTACAAATATGTCATAAAGGCAAAAGACAGCTCCCCTCTTCAAGGAAATACTTAAAGACATCAATATTTGATAAGTTGAAAAGGAAGAGTAAATGTCAATCATTTTTGTGACCTTAAATGCTCCATAAAATGAGGAAATGATACAAAAATTGTATTGGGTCAATCATGACTTACTTTATGAGACATCAGGGTCAAAATGTTGTCAGTCATTGGTGAGTAAATTGCTCAAAGATATCTAGGATTCAATCCATTCCTTCCATGGACACGGAAACTAAAAACGTGAGATAACTTCCTCACATCACACAGCAAGAGTCATTTAGAATGCAACCTACACCCCTACTAACTCCTATGTTCTTCTCAGCACACGTCATTAACTGAAAACTAAGCACAATAATTTTGAAAATTTAGCCAGACTATATTTCTCCAGCTCCCAGAAATGTTTCAAGAATGAGATAAGACTGGTTTGAAAGTAAATGGATAATGAATATTGTGAATTTTCCCAAAGGTCACAAGCTGGACAATGAAAAAGAAGAAACGTAGATACTACATATCAAGGTAGGTCTTGCAAGTGGCAGAACCATGGTTCTGTAGAAACTCATTGACATATGCAGACCAATCAAATCGGGAGGGAGGACTGAGCTAGGAATGCTGAAACTAGTGACCTGTAATTCTGGGCAAAGGTTTCAGCAGATGTGAGGGAGGCTTGCAGACGTGCAATTGTTACTCTCTGGTTCCTCCTTCCCTCCCTCTTCTATTCTTCCCTCTCACTTCTTTTCACTGCCTACGATGACGAAGGGACAAGATGCTGGATGTGACAACTTTGAATTGGCAGTGCCCTGAAGATTTTTGTTCCCTCTAGTCTTAATACAGAGCATTGTCTATATTGCAAAGTATAATAGTGAATTTTAAAAATTGAATGGGCAGGGTGGCTCACACCTGTAATCCTAACACTTTGGGAGGCCAAGGAGGGTGGATCACCTGAGGTCAGGAGTTCGAGACCAATCTGGCCAACATGGTGAAACCCCGTCTCTGCTAAAAATACAAAAAAAAAAATTAGCCGAGCATGGTGGCAGGCACCTGCAGCCTCAGCTACTCAGGAGGCTGAGACAGGAGAATTACTTGAATCCAGCAGGCAGAGGTTGCAGTGAGCCAAGATTGCCCCACTGCACTCCAGCCTGGGTGACAGAGCAAGACTCCATCTCAAAATAAAGAAATAAATAAAAATAATGAATGCTTATGATTGAATTCATAAAAGTTGTGCCTTATGAAAGAAGAGGAGCATGTTTGTTTGCATCTGCTACTCTGGTCTTGCATGGTATTGACGACTTGATGCCAGGTGTCCCTTTTGTTTCTCAGAGACATTATGTTAAATGAGAACTGAAATCAAAACGTTTATATATTGAAAACAGAAGGCCAGGCGCAGCGGCTCAGGCCTGTAATCCCAGAAATTTGGGAGGATGAGACAGGCGGATCACTTGAGGTCAGGAGTTCGAGACCAGCCTGACCAACATGGAGAAACCTCATCTCTACTAAAAATACAAAATTAGCCGGGCATGGTGGCACATGCCTGTAATCCCAACTACTCGAGAGGCTGAGGCAGGAGAATCACTTCAACTTGGGAGGCAGAGGCTGCAGTGAGCCAAGATTGCACCATTGCACTCCAGCCTGAGCAACAAGAGCAAAACTCCATCTCGAAACTACAAACAAAAACAAAAACACACGAAAAAAAGAAAACAAGCATTGCCCTTTTATATACAAGGATTCTACTAGCCGACATAAAGGGGCCCCGGTAGGAGGCAAGAGAGATCTATGACGTATGAGTAGACCCGATACACCATCCAGTACCACCTTTTTCCTTTTCAGCAGATAATTCATAACTAAAGGTTTGTAATGCTCTCAGACACTGGAGAGTATTGAGAAACCATAAAGGAGTCTCCAAGTGAATTTGACCTTAAGTTACCATCAGTGCTAAATAAATGCAATTATTATACGATAATAACTTGTCTCCACATCTGTTTAGCAGCTATGCAGCAACTCTCTTGAGATAAACTTATATATATATACATACATACTTTAAATCTTTATTTTTCTTTTAAAGTTTTATATTGTCATCACCTAGCACATTGCCTGTCATTTAATAGGCATTTAACAAATATTAGGTAAAAAATAAATAGAGCCAAAAATCAATCAAATGGAAA